GCGCCTTTAATCCCAGCACTGGTAGTCAGAGGCAGGTAGATCTCTGAGTTCAAGGCCAGCCTGGTCTACAAGAGCTAGTTCCAGGACAGGCTCCAAAGCTGTAGAGAAACCCTGTTTCAACAAAACGGGTGAACAGTGCAGCTAGGCGTGGAGGGGCACAGCTTTAACCCCAGCACCTAGGAGGGAGAGTCAGGCAGATCTTTGTGAGTTTGATGCCAGCCTGCTCTACAGAATGAGTTCCAAGACAGTTAGGTCTATTACACAGAGAAACTATCTCAAAAAAGGCAAAAGGGGGCCAGGCAGCAGTGGTGCACTCCTTTAATCCCAGCATTTGGGAGGCAGAGAAAGGTGGCTCTTTGTGGATTAAAGGCCAGCTTGGTCTACAGAGGGAGTTCCAGGACAGGCAACAAAAAGCAAAGCGGAGAAAGGGGTGAGGAAATGGTTCTTATGTTCTAGTTTACACTGTTAAACCCGTGCCCTTTATCGTGTTTTTTAATTTGCATTCAGGTTGTCCGGGGACACTACAAAGGCCAGCAGATTGGCAAAGTGGTCCAAGTGTACAGGAAGAAATACGTCATTTACATTGAACGGGTGCAGCGAGAAAAGGCTAATGGCACAACTGTCCACGTGGGCATCCACCCCAGCAAGGTGGGTACTGGGGGGAAACTGCAGCACTTAGGATTTCTTTATGAGGCTCCCTAGGCGTGGGCCCTGCCTTTTTAATTTGGAATCACTGAGACCATCTGAAGTCAGTGTTTTTACAGTGTGAGCAATGGAGTGAGTATGACATGGGTAAAGCTTCAGCGTAGTCAGTAGAACTGAGCGGTACTGCTGTTGGAAAGCCAGAATAGTGTCCCATAATAAATACTGTCCTAGACTTTCATGTCAGTTATCCCAAATTTGTAATTGGATTGTCAATAGGTAATATACACAATGACCACTTAATGCTGAGTTTTGGGGCTTATTTGTTAGTGCTAAAGATGTGATTTTCAAACGAGTGACACCACATTCTCCCTTCCCCAGCACGTGGTGCAGTGCATTGCAGTGTTGTGACACACCACCTTTTTCTTGTGTGTTGCTCCTGTGTATGTCCATGAAGATCAAAGACATGGTCTTGGTGAGGTGTCTCTTAACAGCAAGAACATTCTTATTTGTAACATACTCCATCTTTTACCTCCCACCAGCTCAGTTTTCAAAGTTACAAATGCAGTGTCCAGTTCTTGGTCTTTTTGTCCCTCATGTCCACCCTGTGTTGGAGTTGGCTTTGGCTTCTCTCCCATCTTGGACTGGATGTGTAGGCTGGTAGTTCCAGCCATTTGCCTCAGCTCTGTAATGATGATTTGTAGGACTTTGTAGCACCACCCTGGATTTAGGGAACGGAAATGAAGTGTAACCTCTAGTTGGGCCCCGGTAGTTGCTTAAAATCTGAGGCTGTTTGTTTTTCTGCAGGTGGTAATCACCAGGCTAAAGCTGGACAAAGACCGAAAGAAGATCCTGGAAAGGAAAGCCAAGTCTCGACAAGTAGGAAAGGAGAAGGGCAAATACAAGGAAGAAACGATTGAGAAGATGCAGGAGTAGGGGCGTCTCATACAGTTTCCATTAAAGACTGCTTGAGTAATCCTGTCTTGTGTGGTGCTTTGAAAGGGACCTTGTTTTCCATGGTTCATTCTGCTGCACTGTCAGTCTTTGGGTCTGGAAAGGACAGGACCCCCTTTGCATAGCCTGACCCCACTGACAAATCCAAGAACTAGAGTTGGTCCTTCCTGGATCAAACACTGGGGGTGTTTGTTTTGCTTTTGTATTTAATAGCATGCCTCAACATCTCGAGCTGGATCTAAGAGTCAGTTCTCTCATCATGGGAGTCCCAGAAGCTTGGAGGTGGATATCCTCTCTCATAGGGCCTAACTACAAACTACTTAAAATTCACTGGGAAAAAAAGCAAGAGGGGCTGGTGAGATGGCTCAGTGGTTAAGAGCCCTGGCTGCTCTTCTACAGGAACCAGGTTCAATTCCCAGCACCAGCATGGCAGCTCACAACTGTAACTCCAGTTCTATGATGTCCTCACACAGACATGCATATGCAGGCAAAACACCAATGCACATAATGAGTTAAATATTTAAGAAAAAGATTTACGCCTGTGGCTATTTTATCTCTGCACCACATGCCTGCAGTGGCCAGAAGAGGGCATCAGATGCCCTAGAACCAAATTGTAGGTTTCTAGAACTGAGCTTAGTTTCTTCTGGAGGAGCAGCTGGTACTCTTAGCTGCTACACTATCTCCCCAGACTTGGAAAAACACTTGTAATTGTCTCACGGAATAGAACTTGAGTGACTTGTTACTTAACTATAGTGAGAATTTTATCTTTCTTGTAGTGTTGGATCAGTGCTGTGATGTGAAGACCTAGCAAACCTTTGACTTGAAATATGAAATGTTTAAATAGCAAGCAGCAGTGGGTGCATCAGAAATTGAAGCTGAGCTGGGGGCAAAAGGATTTTTGAGGCTAGACTGGGTCATATGTCGTGTGTGCCCCCCCCCCCCCCCCCGCAGCAATCAATCTGGCTTGCAGCAGATTGGCAGGATCCATTAGTGAGGTGGATGCTACTCAGGAGCAAATTACCTGCATTTGGAAGCTGGCAGCCTTGCTCAGGCATGGTTGCCCACCCTTTTAATCCCAGCACTGGGGAGGCAGGCAGATTTCGGTTCATGATCAGCCTGGTCTACAACACATCTGGAGCTGTTACACAGAAAACCCTGTCTTAATCAAAAATAAGGCTGGGGTCAGGGGTTTAGCACAAGAACACAGTCTGGACCTACCATAAACAGGCTCCAGAATGGAGGTGAGGCCGTATCTAGACCTCAGGAATAAGCTGGATGTTAAACGCTTTGGTCAAGACCTGTTTGTGAGGAATGCTAACGTTTCCCCAATTTGAGACAGGGTCTCACTATGCAGACCAGCCTGGCCTCAAAGAGCTACAATGCCTGGCTGTTTTCTGTTTCTGTAAGAAAACAAGCCCCAGTAGCTTCTCCCTAGTCACACAATAGGTGGTGAAAGAGTCAGGAAGAGAATTGTCAAGTGTGGACGTGGCTGCACTGCCACGTTACCAAGTTCTTGTAAGCTATGTCTTTGACCGGGGCTTGAACACCTTCTGTACTCAGTGCCAATAGCTATGGGGTGCAGGTGAAGAGAATCCTCAGCCTGATGAGAGAATGTAAACCTGAGGTGTAGGCTGTTCAGTGAAGGAAAGGCGTAGTGACCAGTTTTTTGATTGGTTGGTTGGGTTTTTTGTTTTTTGTTTTTTCAAGGAGTTCTTAGTGTATGAGGAAGGTGCCTGATTTGAAAGCTATGGAGTGACACTTCAAGTCAGGAAGAGCCTAATCCCAAAATGGTGATGAGAGAGGAGGGTGTGAATACACTTAAGAATACACCCATGCTCTGCGCCTGCCCCACCTCCACAGGTCACTCAGGAAAGCTGACTTACTAGGGCCTGAATTCACTAGAGTGTTGCCTAAGAAAACATACTGAGGGCCGGCCAGTGGTGGCGCACACCTTTAACCCCTTGGGAAGCAGAGACAAGCAGATCTCTGTGAGTTCGAGGCCAGCTTGGTCTACATAGTGAGTCCCAGGACAGTCAGGAAATCCTGTCTTGAAAAAAGAAAATGAAACAAAAAGAGAGAGAGAGAGAGAGAGAGAGAGAGAGAGAGAGAGAGAGAGAGAGAAAACATACTGAAAACCCTGAGGCTGGGGCTCAGTTACAAATAAAATGCTTGCAATGAAAGCTTTTGGACCTGAGTTCAAATCCCCAGCACCCTTGTAAAGAGTTAGAGAAATGGCTTAGCACTTAGGGACATTTGTTGCCCTTTGCAGAGGACCCAGCAGCACATGACAGCTCACAACTGTCTGAAGTCCAGTTTCTAAGGGACCCTGATGCCATCCTCTGGCCTCTGGGCACATAGTGCACTTACATGCAGGCAGGCAAAATATATATGTACAAAACCTTAGAAAACAGAAAACCTCACTGGAGGCTGGAGAGAGGGCTCAGCGGTTAAGAGCGTGTATGTACCGCTCCTGCAGAGGACCTGAGCTTGCTTCCTAGTCCCCGCATTCAGCAGCTCTCAACCTCCTGACATGCAGTAAGAATTGTGTGGTCTGCTTGAAACACTTTTTTTAATACATTTTTTTATTGATATTTATTGACCTCTACTGCTTGAAACACTTTAAATGTAGGTCAGAATTGGCTGGGTCTTGGCCTGAGTCTGCCTCGTTTACACCTCAAGAATATGAAATCATGTTGTATACTTGGCACAGGTCAGTGCATTCCAGGAAGTGATTGGTCACCACAGAAACAACAGGTCTCTGGAGCAAAACAAAAGTTGGCTTGAGGTCACTGCTCCACCAGAGAAGAACATGGGATCCAGGCGGAGTACCTGTGTACTGCTTGCTATGTTCTCAAGGCCTAAAATAAAGTAGCTCATGGAAGGTTTTGAAAAGCTGGATGAATCAATGATTCTGCAAGCCAAGTGTACTGGCACGAGTCTTTAATCCCAGGAGGCAGAGGCAGGCAGATCTCTGAGTTCAAGGCCAACCTGGTCAGTCTACAAAGCAAGTTTCAGGCTAGCCAAGAGAAAACAGAGAAACCCTATCTCACAAAAAAAAAAAAAAAAAAAAACCTAAAACCTATTCCCTATTCTAATCATCCTTCATGGGGGGTGGAGGAGAGTTTCAAGACTGTTTCTCTATATAGCCTAGACTGTTCTGGAACTCACTCTGTAGACCAGGGTGACTTTGAACTCAGAGATAGGCCAGCCTGGTCTCCCAAGTGCGGCAATTAAAGGCATAGACCACCACCACCGGGTCTTTACTATTACTTTTTTAAAGATGTATGTGTAGAGATGTTCTGTCTGTATGTATATATACACTCCTGGTGCCTATGGAGGCCAGAAGCGGTTACCAGATCCTCTGGAACTGGAGTTAAGATGTTACAGATGGTTGTGAGGCACCATGCGCTCTTAACTGCTCAGCAATCTCTCCGGTCCCTGCCATTACTTTTTTGATGAGCCAATGCTATTGCGTATCAAGGAAGCTGCACTATTTTGGGATAGGAAAGGACATCATTTCCCAGCTTTCTACTGTAGGGTCCAAAGTCTTGTTCTGACCCAGGCCAGCAGCTCACATTCCATTCTCCTTCCAAGACGCTGTCCTTTGTAATAGTCTAGCCAGTAGGAGGCCCGTTTTGCCAAGATAGTTACTTCCCCTCTGTTGGGCTGACCTTCCACCTCCGGGATGCTGGCAGCCCTGGAGACAGCATCACTCGTTCTTTCCAGGAGGTCTGCAGACGCAGAGGTCTCTCTCGGCTTCATGCTGGCAGTGCAGAGTGGGAAGCGGATCCCAAGCCAAACAACCTTGGTCACATTTTCATAACTCAGTCTCAGGAATTGAGACCACCCACTGGTGCTAACCATAGGCTGTTCGCAGCTAGAAATATATTTTGTCCTCGTGATTTTGTTTGTTTTTTAGGAATTTTACTGTTGGGCTGGGCACGAACGCCTGGCACATAGGAGGCACGAGGATCAAATGGATTCCAGTTACTCGAAAGTTTCAAAAGTTTGTGAGAATGCTTGCTTCCGCAGCACACACGCTAAAGTCAGAGTGATCTAGAAAAGATGAGTGTGATCCCTGTGCAAAATGACATCTTTTAAGACTTTATTTTAGGGATATGAATGTTTCATCTATATGTCCATATATGTACCATGAGAGCCCGGTACCCAAGGAGGCCAGAAGAGGGCATTGGATACCCTAGAACTGGAGTTTACAGATGGTTGTGAGCTGCCATGTGGGTGCTGGGACTTGAAGCCTGGTCCTCTGCAAGAGCTTCTAACGCTCTTAACTGCTGAATTACCTCTCCAGCTCCCATTCATCCCTATAATTGTCCTTTTTTTTTTTTTAAAGCGTATCAATGGGATTAGGACTCATCCTAAATGACTTCATCTTGTAATCATCATCGAAGGTCTTCTCTAGTGATTTTTCTATATTTATTTGTGTGGTAGGGTGCACACACCTGTTGTGACGTGTGCGTGGAGGTAAGAAGACAATTGTAGGAGTTACTTTTCTACTGCTGTGAGGAGACACCATGACCAAGGCAACCTATAAAAAGTAAAGGTTTTCATTTGGGTCCATGACCATCATAGCGTGGAACATGGCGGCAGGCCACATGGTGCTGGAGCAGTAGCTAAGAGCTTACATCTTACACACAGGCACAAAGCAGAGAAGAAGCTAACTGGAATGGTGGGGGGGAGTTAAAACTTCAAAAGCTTGAATTCAGGCAGTGCTGGTGCATGGCCTTAATCCCAGCACTTGGGAGGCAGAGGCAGGTGGGTCTCTTGAGTTCGAGGCCAGCCTGGTCTACAGAGCAAGTTCTAGAACAGACTCCAAAGCTACACAAAGAAACTCTGTCTCAAAAAGAAACAAAAGGGGGGGGGAGTTGCTGGAGAGATGGCTCAGTGGTTAAGAGTACTGGTTGCTCTTTCAAAGGACTTGGGTTCAATACCCAGCACCCACATTCTAGGATCTGGACTGCAGACACTGCATGCACATGCTACACAGATACACATGCAGGCAAAACACC